AAGATGAGAGGTGAAAGTTAATTCTCTTTGTCACTGTAGGGTGATTTTTCCTTGTATTCACTTATCCTAAGGCATCTTAAGGAAGACAAGATGTGGTGCTGAAAAAGAAAAATCACTCTGTTGGACATTAGAAGAGTTGGATTCTTGTTGTGGTCTACTACTAATCAATTAGCTGTATTCCCTTGAGTCTGGGCCTCAGTGTCTTCATCTTTAAGAGCATACATGATGATAAAATGCAAGGCAGTGGAGGATTTTTAGTGTACAACAATTATAGCGTCTTGTCCAATGGACCCTCGAACTCATTAACTTCTGACTCTACATTTCAAAGCTTGGCAAAAGAACTGCCATAGATTACATACGGTCATAGGTTGTGGCCACTCATCCAAAATCTGGCACTGCTGACTCCCAGAAGTAAACTGGATCTATACTGGAGAAGTACTATGTGCTAAAGAGCTAGAGACAGACATCCCAGATTTAAAGATAGGCTCCTCTATTTTTTATCATTACGACTTTGGGCAAGTCATTTACCTTCTCCTAAACACAGTTTCCTTTTCTTTAAAACGTAGTTAATAGTGTACCAATCTTATAGCTATTTTTGTGAGGATTAAATGAAATAATGCATGTAAAGTATTTAGTATCACACCTAGTACATGCCAAACACTCAATAACAATTAATTATATAGGAACTACATAGTAGAGACAGAAATCTCTGTTTACTGTTAAGAATGGGGAAAATAAGAATTATAGTAAATTTTGTATTTAAAAGTGTTTGAATATATGGAATTTAAACAAGTTACAAAATCTTTTCCACTGAGAAGAATATTGTCTGCTTGAGTTCCTGCCTCTCAATTCTGGGGGAGACCACTGTCTTGGGGCTTGGAACTCTAAAGCTGGCTTCTCAATGAAGCACTTGTAGGATCATCTGGAAGATATTTTCTTTCCATGTACCTCATTATGTGCCTTGCCTACATGTAACAGGGACAACTCATCTCACCTTTCATTGCCTTTATGCTTTAAGAATATGTTAAGATAAAGAGAATAAAAGAATCTGAGGTCCAGAAAAAAGTGAAAGTTAATAATGGCAAAACTCAGTTTATAATACAGTTTTAAGGTTTAATTGAGTGATATCTGTATTCCTCATCAAGGAAATGGAAATAGATTTTACATTAAACTGATCCAGTTGATTATCCAGACTTGTTTATTGACTAACAATATCAGTGATATAAGTTAAAATCAGAGATCAATAATCTTTGGTTGACAGGCTAAAGACGATATTTAGCATGATTGTAAGTGATCCATGGGAGCAGTCAGGGCAGCCTTACTCTCTGTCCAGATCCCCTCAAAACAGTCAGTGCCTAACCAGGCCCTCACTCTATGTCCATTTGGTGAACTAGTAACAATTTCAGGAATATATTAAACCAGTTACTTCATTTATATTCAGATAATATTTCCTGGGGTCCCATGATGCGGCATTGTATAATTCTCTGTTTGTCTTCATATATATTCCACTCGATTTAAAAGTTCATGGTTCCATCTCCAGGCTTCCAAGAAAATATATGGAAATTATATTTATATTATGGTCATGAAATTAGTAATACAATCTGTAGAAATTTAGAAGATACTAAAAAGTATATGGAAATAAAAGATCACCCATAATCTTACATCCAGGAGTAAATGTCCTAAATATATTAATTTTTCCTCATCTTTTCTATACAAATGTTTTAATGGAGATGAAATAAAACCCATATAAAATTTTATAAGAAATTTTTGAATTTGAATTTTATTCTTAAAAGATACATATAAACTTATACTCTTCAAATAATAATTCTTTAACTATCATTCACTAGCTTTTTACCTATAGTATATTTAAATAATCATAATCGGGATATACAGACAATTTTGTGAGGTTTTTTATTCAGGCCATTTCATATATTTTTTCTGTCTTGTTAGTGTTCCAAATTATTACTTCTAAGGACTACGTTATTCCATTATATTGATGTCCAAATTAAGTTTTGTAAAGACTACTCTGACCCAGGGAAATGGAATTCATTTCATCTGGGTTTCCTATGTCTTATAAGAATATCTTTGAGGCCAGGATAATGAAAGATAAGACAGTCCACTAAGAGAAGTTTTGAGTTATCTATTCTTAGGGAGTTTTGGGAAGAGAAGGAATCATATGTGATAATGTCAGAGTACTGTGAAAAGGCAGAGTTTTGGACTATTTCATTCTTTCATAGTTCCTCTTTGCTTTCTCTCTTTTTCTTTTTTAAGGTAAAGCATTTCTTCCTCGAGTTTTTATCACCCATACCACGTAGATGGAGCGTAAAAGGAATGTGACTGAATTCATTTTAATAGGTCTTACACAGAACCCCCAAATGCAGAAACTAGTGTTTGCAATATTTTTAATTCTATACATATTAGCGCTCTCAGGCAACCTGCTCATTGCAGTTACCTTTACCACCAGTCACGCTCTGAACTCCCCCATGTACTTCTTCCTGACCCACCTTTCCTTGATAGATGCAATTTCTTCTTCTTCTTTAGCTCCTAAGCTGATTGTGCACTCCTTTCATGAGAAGAAAACTATCTCCTTTAATGCGTGTGTGGCTCAAGTCTATGCAGAACACATTTTTGGTGCTACTGAGATCATCCTGCTGATGGTGATGGCTATGACTGCTATGTGACCATCTACAAACCTCTGCACTATACAACCATCATGAGCCACAGGCTGTGCATTCTCATGCTGGGAGTGGCCTGGGCTGGAGGATTTCTCCATGCAGCCATTCAGATCCTCTTTATATTCTGGCTGCCTTTCTGCGGCTCCAATGTCTTCGATCATTTCATGTGTAACTTGTACCCTGTGTTGAAGTTGAAGCATGGACACTCATACCCTTGGTCTCTTTGCTGCTGCCAACAGTAGGCTCATCTGCCTGTTAACTTCCTTCTCTTGGTGGCCTCCTATGTGGTTATCTTGTGCTCCCTAAAGAAATATAGCTTGGGGGGAGGCGCAAAGCCCTCTCTACCTGTATCTCTCTCATCACAGTAGTAGTCTTATGTTTTGTACCCTGCATATTTGTGTATCTGCGCCCAGTGATCACTCTGCCCATTGATAAAGCTGTGACTGTCTTTTATAGCATGGTGGCCCCTATGTTAAATCTTTTAATCTAAGCCCTCAGAAATGCAGAGGCTAAAAATGCCATGCAGAAGCTCTGCTGGAAAAAAATGACTTCAGATAATGATTAAACAGGATCATTGAGCATTGCAGATGGAAGTAATAGAGGTAATTTAGTCCAAGCCTCTTGATCTATAGATGAAGACATCAGCTCTAACAAGAGGTTGGATAATACTTGCAGGTAGCCACTTCAGTGCAGAGCTAAAGCTTGGACTTGAATCCAGAATTTACTGTCTCCCATCCTACACTCTTATCATCACAACTTGCTATTTATTAACCAATAAATATTTATCTATTACCTGGAAATCTGAAACACCTTTAGAAGCTAAAAAATGTGAGCCTAGAATATTGGATTGGTATGAAAATAATCTTATTATGTAACATTGAGATGTTGGTTATGATTGATAATTGAAAATAACATGTTTAATGATATTCCTTTACTTGGGATTGTGGCCTCAAAATAATATAAATTCTTTGTTTTGTAAAATTTTGTTCATTAAATCTTAGCTCTATAGTAAAAAGAGATACTGTTTATCAAATGCCTATAAGGCTGAATTGCACTAGGTATTTTCTGTATTGTATCAGTCAAGGTCCAATCAGGGGGCAGACCACATAGTAATTTGAACAGGGAAAGTTTGAATACAATTATTAATTATATTAGGGCATTAACTAGAAAATTGTAATGAGTACTCTAAAGAATGTCCTGAGACTGAGAAATGAACATCCAAGGAGGGATCCCATTTAGAAGGTGGAAGTCCTCCCCAAGGCTGGGATTCCAATCTTTTGGAGAAGGTCTACTTATTGCCCTTTGAACAGTAGAGAAGTTCAC